GATTTCCACAGTCACGTTATAATTTAAACAAACGCTATAATTCACAACGAGTGAACGATTCACGCGCTTGACTCAATTGTCGTCTTTATCTCTGTCTGCAATTCAGTTACCTTGTTGCCGTCACTTCTTGGCGGTCTTATGTACAAGAATACCGAAAATCTAGTAAACACTCGAGGCTTCACGACTTCACGAAAAGACATGCATTTTCTAGAAGCTTATGACGTGTTACTAGATCACATGACTTCCGCTGTCGTAACACCTGCATTTAGTTTATTCTGGCACTCATGACTGTTTGTAGACTCTAGCCTTAGATTAAAGATGCATTTGTAGCTTATTAGTGTATGTTCCACAGTGGCTACATGCTGTAAGACTAAGGGCTCACACCACTAAAAACTGGGTTTCGATACACGTGGTTGACACAGCATAGATAGCCTTTGTTGTAGCTTTGTCCTAAATAACAAACAAACAGAAACTTGTTATTATATTTTGACATTGATATAAATATGTACGACAACTATAATATTTGACTGTAGAAACACAGGACATTTTAATTTTTTTTTCGAATTAGGTTTTCTTTTAGTGTAAATTTTTCGAAGAGGCTGAAACTTCTTTGAAATTTTCCTCTTCATAGTCGAGTTTAGCTGGATGCTAAATATCACAAAAATTTTATATCGGCGTATTTTATTCATGCATTCCTGTTGTGTCAGAAGAATTGTGACGTCATTTAGCGAAGAGTATTAGACCTAACGTTAGTTTTCAGTAAGTGTTTAATTTTACGTTGAGTTGATTTAAGAGTTATTTGTAATCACAGTACTTTTGCTAGGTAAGAACTGTATTTTAAAATACTATTTTGATTTAAGAAAACCTCCGTGGAAGAGGTGACTTGTTATTCATATTTGCATAATTACTTAAATTAGTTTTGATGTTTTGCTATATATTAGTACTAGTAGTAGTACATGTTGCCGATATTTGGGTAAGCAATATTCGTAATTTTTCTGAAAAATTTTCAGAAAACTAGTTTTGACTGATTTTGACTTTGAGTTTGAGGCCATCATGGTACTACTACTACTATTACTGTTATTAGGGAACTGGAATAATGAGTTAGAAGGTGATATGGGTTGGATTTGGGAAAGTTTAAAAAATTGAACTTGTTTTAATTCAAGATGTTCCTAAAAGAAAAAAATATATAATTTAAAAAGATGAAAATTCGAAAAGGATTACATTATGATTTATCACTAATATAACAGCCGTTGGGGCATTATAATGTGATGGTCAATCCCACTATTCGTTGGTAAAAGAGTAGCCCAAGAGTTGGCGGTGGGTGGTGATAACTAGCTGCCTTCCCTCTAGTCTTACACTGCTAAGTTAGGGAAGGCTAGCGCAGATAGCCCTGTGTAGCTTTGCGCGAAATTCAGTTATGCATTAGTGTAACATTTGTTCCCAGTGTTTTTTAAATGACATCAGTTATATACTTTACACTTTTACTAGGTATGCAGACAAAAGCACCATAACAATAAGAGTATAGATGAGCATCCCACACTTGCATTTGTAAAGAAGGAAAATTCAGTCTTTCTTGTTTTATTGTTTCAACGTAATAAAATGCAAACCTTACTTGTATAAGTTGTCAACCTTTTTAATTTGATAAGGTAAAATCTCTATTTTACTTGTAAAGTTGTCTGCATTAACTCGAGGTTAAAAAGCCAAAGCTTAGAAAGGGGTAGGCACATCTTATGTGTATACATATTTTTTGTGTGCGTAGAATGAAAAATCCACCATTTCTCTCTCTCTTTTTCAGGTATCTAGGCTACACTAACTTGATTAAATAAAACTTTTAAATTTTAATGAATGAACATTTTTACCTCAGAAAACTTATTTTCCGAAAACCACTTACCTCTTTTCACACTTCAGCTTTATCCCGACAAAAGTTTCTCTTCTCTGCCCAGGGGTGGACTGGGAAGAATTTGGATTCAACTTTTCTGGCTCCTGCACCATTTTTGCAACTAGTACATCAAGTTTGTAATGTCTTGAGCATTTCCCCAGTGGCTTATGGGGAAAGTCATTTGCCTGATTACCTAGACATTGCTGTGCATGCTCTGAGATTTGTTGATCAACTGAGAGAGGTTGATGTCATGCCTTGTCTTCCCCATTTATCAGATCAGCATGCCTTAGCTTTCCATCTTTTAGAGGATCCATGTTTAGATTCTAAGAGGTTAGATCTTCTTCTTCTTCCTATTTGGAGTTCTAGTCCTGACTCAATTTTCCCAGATTAGACTGTCCCTTCCAACAGTTTTGTGTTTATCTTCTTTGCACCTGTTGACTGAGGCCTTTCACAAGTTTCGTGCTCAATTTATCAAAGGATCTTAATGATTTATTGACTTCTACTTTGGTAAGGTTATTAGCTTCTGCTTTCTCATTGGTCTCTTGGTTGGTTTGTTGCTGGGACCTTACCTTTTGGAGAGAGATGCAAATGCTTGAGGGAACTTGACTTCTTTCTTTGGCCCTTAGAGATCACAAGAGAACCTCCTTTTCTCAGGCATTCAAATTTTGCAGGGTGGAAATGGAATCTTAGGTAGATGTGGCCCATCTCCACTCTTTTTTATCGACACTGGCCTCTCACCTTTTCCAATCTTCTACAGGACAGTTTACTGCATCTTCAATTTGAGTTTCCAGACCTCCTGTTTTGGCTCCATGTTCTATCGGATCACAAGTGAGATTCCAACCTTATCAGTGGGCATCCTCCGCTTCTGTGGAGCATCAACAAGGCATCAGTGACTACCCTATGGGGCTTCAACTCAGACTCAGGCTCGTGTCTGTTTGTGAGACCTTTGCCACCGATCAGTGGATCATTCAGGTTCTTACGAGAGGCATGTTCCTTCATTTCATGTCTCCTCCTCTATTGTCTACCATACTAGTTGCCTTTCCCCTCTCCAAGGATTGCCTTACATCAGGTAGTCAGGCACAAGCCAACCAGGATCTTCTGCTCAAAGTGGCCACAGAATTTGTCGACTATTCTCTCAAAGGTTTTTATTCCCATTTGTTTGTAGTACTGAAAAAGACAGGTGGTTGGTGACCTGTCATTGACCTTTCTCATCTCAATTGTTTCCTCCAGCATTTCCCTATGGTGGCATTTTGCACCTGGTCTATAGATGATGAAGTTCAATGTTGCTGATGCCTATCTTCATATTTGATCATGGAGTCTTCCCATCAGTATCTGTTTTGTGCATGAGAGACAGGTTTTTCAGTTTCTCACACTACCATTCAGTCTCGCATCTGCCCCATACTTCTCTTGCCAGATAGTCAGATCTTTTTTATGTCATCTTCACTGAAAGGGCATTCAACCTCACCATTATATGGACAACTGGCTACTTCTTGATCCTTCTAACCACTTAGCAGACCTTCACAATCAAGCTCTTTTATCTGAAGGAGTGACAGCTGGGTTTCTCAGAGAAGTCTGTTCTTAACCTCACCCAGTACCTCATACATTTAGGGGTATTTTTCAATCCGCATCTCAGTCAGGCTTAACCTTCTCCTCTATGCATTCAGGCTTGTGCGCGATTTGATCTCTATTGGGGATGTGGGCATTCTTGGAATCACTCATTCATTTGGATTGGACCCACATGTGTTCCCTAAAGTGGTTGTTATAGAACCAATGGAACATTTGCATGGACGTGCTGGATTATCTGGTGATCCTATTGGCTTTCAGCATGCTTGATCTTGGCTGGTGGTTGACACCCCCCCCCCCCCACCACACACACGTCTTCACAAATGCTTCTTTTCAGGGATGGGGAGCTTGTGTTGGGGATATGGAATTCAAGGGCCTATGGACAGAAGAAGACTCTTCTCTTCTCATGAATCTTTTAGAGCTTCTAGCAGTTCAATGAACATTTGAGCATGGTCTTTGGCTTTTGAATTGTTGTGAGGGAAGATGGTAATGCTTCACTACAATGGTCTCCTACATTTCCAAGCAAGGGGGCATTCACTCCAGATCTCTTTGTTTTCAGACATTGGATCTTCTCTTTTGGGCTCACAATTATCAAATTGTTCTCCTTGCTTTTCATGTTTCAGTTGTTATGAATTTAGTTGTCAATCAGTTATCTCATCCCAACAAAGTTCTTCCCACAGAATGGATACTTCATCCACAAGTTTTTTGTTGTATCTGCTCTCATCTCGGGAAGCCTCAGAGAGATGCTTTTGTCACTGACTGGAATGCCAAGCTCCCGTCCTTCTAGTCTCCTGCCCCTCACCTTCTGGCTTTGGGATTCATTTGTTATCCAAAGTTCTTGCACTGATTTGCTCCTTATCCTGTTGAGATCTTCTGGTGGTGACATATTGGCTTCCACTCCTTCAGTATCTTCAGGAGTGCCAACCTCTTCTGCTTCCTCTCTGGCTGTCCCTCTTATGTCAGCCTCAGTCAGACATTCTAAATCTGGTGATCACCATTCTTTGGCTTTATGCCTGGATTTTATGTGGTCTGTTGCACAATGTCAGGGATTGACCTCTCTGGAGGCATTTTTATTAACTCAATCCGTTCGGCATTCTTCATTGGACGTTTATCAAGGAAATGGTTTATTTATTGTAAGTGGTCTCTTGGACATGGTTTTAATCCTTCTTGTCCCTCTGTGTCACATGTTTCTTGATTTCTGGTACAGTTATTAGACAAAGGTTTGACACCTTCATCTGTTTCTCTGTATAAGGCAGCTTTGTCTGCTACTTTCATTTTTCTGGGAGATGTAAACATTTTGAGTACCCAGTTTTGTTACTGCTTCTCAGTGGAGCATGGGAAAGAATCACATGATTTAAACTGCTATGAGCACTATAGTGGGTCATAAAGGCTGGAGCAAGTGAGGTAAAATTCATACTAATGCTTAGATGGGCAGAGAAGAGAAACTTTTGTTGGTATAAAACTAGAGTGTGAGGGGAAGGAAGTATTATTGGAAAAGTTTGGGAAATGCTGGTTTATGTGATTAAATAAACTTCTAAAAAGACTATATATGAAGATAAAAAGACAAGAAAGAAAAATTATGTTTTATTTTATAAGTTTATTCACCATCAATTAGGATTTCTCATTTCTATAATTTTTGTGGTTTTTCTACTGTATTTATTCAGTAGTTGCTTAGAATAATTACAGAGTGCAATCTGATAATTTAGTATCTGTGTGCTATAGCTATTCATTGTAAACGCAAGAGACACTGCTTATGATTTTTACATTGGAAGAATCCAAATTAGGTTTACTGAAAGGAATACATATGGAAAGAGATATGAAAGCCCTGAACCATAAGATGCTATCAACATCACTTTCATAGCCCTTTTGACTCATTTTTCTCATAATCTATAGACAATAAGATACTATTTGGCTCTTCAAGGTTGTTATCACAAACCCACAATTGACAAAAAAGTACAAATTTAAACGCACCTACCATTTACATTTAAGGAAGTCATTGGTTCCCCTCTTAAAATTCCTGTAAGTTGCTTGCTTTCATTACTTCCGACGGCAACTCATTCCACAAGTCAATCACCCTGTTAGAAAATTTAAAATGTTGTAACTAGAGCCTAGCCTTTCTTTTCCAAACCCTTGTTTTCTCTTTTTAGTATGTATTATATAGCACAAAGAAGTCAGAGGCCTTTATCTTACTTATTCCCTGGATAAACTTGTAATCTTCAAAAAGATCACTTCTTACCCTTCCTTCCTCAAAAAAAAAAAGTTAGAAGATCTTAAACTATTCCTATAAGATAATTCTTCCATCTCTGTATCATCCTATAGGTCTTTAGTAAGATTAGATAGGGAGGCCAAATCTGTACAGCTTTCCAAGTAATGCCTAACAT